TCTCTCCAGGACTGCGGCAGAATATGGGAGTAGAGATCAGGTGAGCGAGTGTAGAAATCCAGTATGTGAACGCCTCCGCAGAGCGTCTGAAGTAGCCATGAGGAAGTAGTCAAATTGAGCAGCGACTCGACGTATTCCTCAGTATTGGTGAATTCGGCAGGAAGCGGAAGACTCGTTTCTGGACCCATGATTTCATCCAGGGTCTCTTAGACAGATGGTGAGATTTTGTGAAATCGGCAGTCTTGGTGAGGGATGCGCCATCGGGAAGGCGTGGTGGAGTTGACTGTGCTGTGGGCGATATTTTTTGGGAAGGTGGGTCCGTGCCGAGGTGTTGTGGCGCGTCATCGCTCGTAGTGGACAGCTTCTCGACACGCTCCAACATCCTCACCCCCAGCTTCTACGCGCCCATCTTGCTTGCTGGCCACATTCTGGAGGTGCAATTCGCGTCGCATAGCCCAGGATGATGTCATCACAGACCGACGAGGATCCTTTCCTCCAGGTGCAGGCGTAAGACGTCCCCGTTCGCGTTTAGGCATCTTCATTGACACTTGGCCCAGAGACGTGCTTTCCGCCCTCAACACCGCGCGCCCGCTATTCAAGTCGTATCTGCGTATTCGATCCTCGGCATCGTCGGCAAACAGTCCTGAGCTCCGTGAAGCTCGCAGTGAGCTTGAACAGACACTCCAAGACCTCAGCCAGGATCTCGAGGATCTAGTGGAGAGCGTCAAGGCTGTGGAGCATGACCCCTATCGCTTCGGTCTTGACATTGACGAAGTCGAGCGCCGCAGAACACTAGTCAAGGATGTCGGCTCCGAGATTGAGCACATGCGCGAGGAACTGCAAGAGACGGTCCAACACGCGAAGAACAAAGGCAAGATCGCAGCCAATGGCGATGTTCTACCTGATCCAGATTCCTTCGAAGACGACGACAACTACGCGGCATTTGAGCAGGAAAGACAGATGGAGATGATGCATGAGCAGGACGAAGCCCTCGATGGCGTCTTCCGTACCGTCGGCAACCTCCGACAACAGGCCGACGACATGGGCCGAGAGCTTGAAGAGCAGGGTGAACTACTCACCGACGTCGACAATGTGGCAGACAGGGTGGGTGGCAAGCTGCAGACAGGCCTCAAGAAGGTTGGCTGGGTCATCAAGCAGAACGAAGGTAAGGTACTTGACCATCGCTGGACAGGCGTTGCTGACCTATCCCCCTAGACACATGGTCCAGTTGCTGCATCGGCGTTCTTATCTTCGTCCTCATTCTCCTCCTCGTGCTGCTCTTGTTCCTGTGAGCACGCAGAACTACCCGCGCCAACCTCAGGCACATACGGAAGCCGCGTTCCCGAGCCCTAGCGCCGAAACATCAGCGCCGTTCATCATACACCCTTTGGTGCTGAAGGGACTGGTCGATCGCCAGGGACCAACATACCCGCAGTTCGTGATATTGTTGAAGCGATGATCATCTTCGCCGCTGCATAGCTGACGGTACACGTGTAACGAAAGCACTAGCCTTCGTCGCAATCCTGCTGGAGCCCGGCTGTTGGCTTGCACTGCCGGTGCTACTGTGCGGCAACTTATCTGGGGTACCCATCCCTCATTAGCGCCCTTGCATGAATGCATTGCGTACGCAATGAGGGTGTTGCCCGACAACGAACACCCTACACCGCTTGCGCGATCGACTCGGACTTGTTCACAATGCGAAATGCAACAGAGCAAGCAAGCCTTGCGGGGATGCGACATACAGCGGGTTGTCCCAAGTGCGCCATGGACCCAGGGAGCCTCCATATTCCAATAACGACCTCCTCAGTGTCTGGTTGTGCACGAGGCTTTACTCATTATGATGAACACACCGAAACTGAGGATAGAACTGGAAAGCAGGAACAGGACAGCCGCTCAACGCACATAGCGCTGCCTCTGAGACGCTGCATGTTTGGGACGTACAGGCTCTATCCAAGAATCTTCCTGAGAACCATCGTCGACATTGCTTCTTATTAAGCCATTCCATACCTAGAAATTGCCTTGACTAGGCATTTTCAGCATTCAATAAATGTTTTCACGATAACAACTCTGCGTTCGCCTCGCTTGCAGATCGTCAATTTCCGGATGACTAAATCAGACAGCAGAAACAGTCGCCCTAAACAGCCGTCCGCCAAGCCCGAGTCCAAAACGATTCAAACCAACACCAGAACCTCGCGGCGAAAACCCACTCTCATTTTCATCACGCTCTTGCTTAACGCACTGTTCTGGAGTGCTCTTATCTGTTTGGTCACCTCACTGTATCAGATCGTGTCTGATCCGTGGGATGCAACGAACATCATACCAGTGGTCTTGAACTTGACTTCTGTATGTGCTTGGAACCCTGCAATCAAGGCCAACAGTGACTAAATCGCCCAGGCTCTCGCAACAATTGCGTACACCTGCGTCCACACAGTATTCTCTTTCAAGCAGAAGGTTTGGGAAGAACAACGGCGACACACGTCTGCTGTCAGGAAGACTTCCTATGTTGCCATCCGTCTAGTGATCTCGCTATGTGTTTTCTGGTTACTAACCTCTGGATGGAACATGGTTCTCGTCGCAAGGAGACCTATTTGTCTGCAACAGGCACCCGGTCTTCAAAGCTGGGAATCTGGCTCCACTTGCTTATGTGGACGTGTTGGGACCACTTTCGCCGCCATTTCGCTGTATGTTAAACTAGTCTGTGAATTTGACGCCAAAGCTGACTAGTTCACCAGGGTTGCGTCTTTTGTTCTGTTTGGCGTACTCGCCATCGTCAACCGTCCTTTCGAAGCTCATTTATTCAAGCACGGTTACCGAGAACCTGCAAACGCATGGCTTCCGCCACACTCTTTCAATGGGTCAACGATCACCGGAGATCGCAAATGTACGTGTGAGAAGCACACCTACTGCCGTCATGTCACGCCAACACGGAGGAGCAGCTCATCCAACCCGATGGAACAAAGCAGCAGAATCTCAGCAGGATCCAGAGTCTTTACTTCACATCATGCTCCGCCACCTATACCCTCTGCTTTTATGGCCTCGTATCGTAAATCCTCTTTCAATACTTTACCTTCTGCATCACAGTCCTCTGCCAACCGTGGAGCCTTGAATCGCCCGCCTCTTTCGTCGCGTTCGGCAAGCAAATACGACTCCGGACCTCTGTTCACGCAGGCCCGGTATTCGGCATCTACATGGCGCGCCGTTCATCCAGAGGGCTCGGATTTCACACTAAATGCATCGCGCCCGCGCCATTATTCACGCGATCTTGATCTTCGTCATAGCATCCGATACTCACATTCCTCGATGTCCCTCACTCGTCCAAGTCGTCTAAGCTCTCTGAGCACTGTTTCGCGAAGTGGCTGTAATGGTTTCAACAGCCGGGATCACACCTTTGGAGTTCCTGATCACAGCGAAATAGCCAGTCCCGATGAGATCGCGTATGCTATCACAAAGGGAACGCCCATACCTGGCACTGAACGTGTCAGAGGTCTTGGCAGACACCACATCCGCTCAGGCAGTGCCCCGGATTATACATCTCCTTTTCAGCAGAAGCCTGGCTTCGTTTTCGAGGCGATTGTCGTCACTCGAAAACCGGTGCCGGTTTGGCGATTGAGATCTGCGGACCGTGTACGGGCTTCAAGTACTTCCAATTCAGAAGCCGAAAGATACATGGTCAGCCAAAGGCTTGGAAATCTCCAGCATGCTAATAACCGATCGGAATATACTGAATCGGGCATGAGTAGACGGGTGACGTTTCAGGAGATGAAAAATAAGCCCTTGCCGAAGATTGCCGTCTTCTAGCACCGAATTTGAACCAACCTTCGACTGCAACTCAACTATACGAAAATGATCAAACTCAAGACCAATCGTAGTTCTACATAGGCTCCTCCACAACCCGTTTCATGGGTGTAAAATAAACACAGCGCTCGCCAGCAGCCAAAGCAAGCGAATGTTCGCTCGGAAAGCTTCTGGCGGAAAACAACCGGTGGAACGGGCCCTCTGCGCGTCTCCTTGTTCGCATCTCACACGCATCACTGATCACTGCTGATGGACTGCTGTTGGTCGTCTGTGGGATCAGCAGCGCCATCCGTCAGCTTACAGCGGATGGCGCGTCACTGACTCGCTACAAGGCGACCGAAGTACTCTCACTGGCTGTATGCGTAAACGGCAGTGATACATTTAAAATGCTGCTTGGGCGTGACTCGTCACCACCAACATTGACCGCCTACAATTGTTCTGGACTGGTGGATCCCGTCAGAAGACTCTGCTCTTGTTCACGGGACCAACTATCTGGCCTTCACGCGCTAGCCGACTGGGATGCCCCGCCTCTTGACACATATCGGAAGAAGGCATCATCTCAGCACTGAGGTGGCATGTTTGAAACCGTGTCACTCCTTCACAGAGATGTACGCTCACGAACGCGTACGATGTGGGGATTACCCAAAACGAGCCGGTGTTGACCTCTATTCAAGCATGCGAATCGACCACACCGTCAGCAAAGTAGGGAGAGAAAGAGCTCATCGTTGAATGCCAAGTCTCCTAGCACGGGCTCACATACGACTTATTGCACAATTTGCTATATAGGCATATGTCAGCACTCATGGCTCTTAGGTCTGCAAACTCGATACAGCCAGCTGCCGCCAACATCGGATTGTTAAGTCGACAAAACTCAGCACTTGGCAGCTTATCTTACATTTGCGAAGGCATCAGCGAGGTCTTCTGCCATGAACCATCTATGGCCGGAAAAGGCATGCGCCACCAACTCGGAAGGCTGGGATGATTCCGAGCCTAGAGCTTCTGTGACACCTGGTGGAAAGAAAGAGGCTTGTTATACGTAACGGGAGGCAAGTTCGAGACAGTGTGCTGAGGCTATCAGAATGTGTGGATGCATGGCTCCTATGCTATAAAGCAGAACTCGACTGCTGTCTAGAAAGATCACAACATTACAGTCGAACATCCATTCGATCAAACATACTATCTTGTTCCAGTACCCAAACGCCAAGATGCAACTTACAATCCTCACCTCCCTTCTTGCCACTGCGGCTATGACCGCCAGTGCCGCGCCTGCCACCGGCATCGAGGCTCGTCAGGGAGTTCCCCGTGTACGCGCCACCTGTAAGTGATAACACTACGCGACGCAGAACAAACCGGACACGTATTGACGCTATACCCATCTTAGTCTATCGCGACACTCAATGCGGCCGCGACGGCCAGCCTTATGGCGATGACTATGTCCCACTGCAAAACACCACCGCCACCGGCCTGAGCACGTGCATGAACTTTCCCCCTTCGTTCAACTTCCCCAGCACGTACTTCAACGAGACCATGCTTACAAGGACAAGTATGTTTTAGCCGCATCGTAATGAATTCCGGGTTCGCAGGAGCTAACAGATGACGTGTAGTCCGTTTTTACGACATTCCTTGCGAGCAACTTACTAGCGTTGACAGCGGACGCCACATTGACATCGCGCCGGGCTTCGTGGCTGGTTGCCAGACGCTGACGCTCAAGTCTTATGTCACCTTGTAGATGCTCTAGCTCACGAGGGGCCTGTTGGTGGACAGATCGAGGAAGGCTTTGTTATGTAGTAATGCGATGTAGTGTGAGTCGGGTCCAATACTCCGGCTCACACCACAACACATTCAGGACCTTTAAGGAATTTTCTACCCTCTTCTAGTCACTCATTTATAAGAATATAGAATATGGAGCGATCCAGTGTCTACCGCAATGATGGTATTTTTATATGCTGGTTGATGATTGCGTTCTCAGTGTCTTCGTCGTGAAGTCACGATGAAGAGTTGGTAGGAGTGTAAGATTGCGTGGGATCACGGGTAGGCGGAACGTACCCACTCATGCAGCCACTCTGCACGTGAATGTGCATGCATGCACGCGACCGGCTTACCTGCAAGATCGCATCGAAGCACCAAATCGGGATGTTTGCAAAGCCACGTCATTTCACAAAATGTGAAGACCGCGAGAGACTCAGGAATCGGGAACACGGGGTCAGCGGCACCACTGACTTACAAACTTGGCATCAAAGGAAGCAAAAATACGTAGTATGTACCTGGAATTTGGCCTCATGTCGCAGTCTACGGATGGGGACCTTTGCATCACTTCCTCGTATACTCTCACTCGCCAACAGGCTCCAACGTAATATTGTTCGTGTTTTGTAGCCCCTAAGGCTATGGAGCAGGGTTATAATGCTCTAGCCACTCAATCAAAACCTCGTAACGGTGGTAGGTGTTCTACAGACGACCGATATCGACTGGGCGATGTCAGCCACCAACCGCACGATCCGTGTCGCTCTTCATACCAGAGTTGGTGGAGCGACACCACACGCAATAGCAGCTTGGCTTGCTTTTGTTGGATGATAGTACATTATGGAGACATATAAAGCAAGTATCATACACCGTTCTCCATTCCATCTCACTACGACATCTCGTCTCATCTCATCTCATCTCCCTCTTTCCACATCCATCTATCCATTCATACCCCCAGCGACCGCATATCCAAACTTCAACATGCAGCTCACCACTCTCATCACTCTGTTCGCCACTGCCATCGCCGTAAGCGCGACACCCATCGAACTAGAGGAGAAGCGTCAGCTCGAAGGTGCTCCCCGCGTCTACGCCCGCTTCTTCCGCGACAACGGTTGCGGTCCCACCCCATGGGCTGAAGACACTGTTTTCTTGCAGTCCGAGACTGTGGGACTGGCTGGATGTCAGGATCTGACTGTTGGGCCTTTCGCAAGCACCAGCTTTGACATCAATAACTTCAGCAGGACTGGTATGTGACACTTGATGATAACTAGGAGGCTATAAGAGCTTCGCTAATGAGGTGAATAGTGAGGTTCTTTAATTTGCCCTGCTCTCAGCTCACGTCTGCCACGAGCGGAAACTTTGTCGATATCGCTCCCGGCCAGGCTCCTAGCTGCAAGAACTTGGCTATTCGGTCCTGGATCACCATCTAAATGGCATCCCGCCGTATGACACTGGCTCTATATCTGCTGAAAAGGTCAAAATATCACAGTAGGTCTAAAGTATCTGGTCTAGTCGCGAAGATGGAGAAGTTGAGTGGTGTAAGGAGAAATGTGAGATGAGTCGGGTCCAACACTCCGGTCTCGTCTTGCGGGTGTTCTTTCATAGCCTTCTTGTCGCTCCTTTAGTCAGAATATAAGATTTGTGGGACGCCCCCGTGTATACTTCACAATATCTACCGTTGCAGCTTACGTGCACGCGAAATCTGATGCCAGCCTTTAGATACATTTTCGTAGAAGACCTCGTGGGTTTGCTGGCACGACATATGCAGTTTCGCAGAAACGCTTCAAGCGCAGTCGCATTGGGAGGTCTTGTAAGCACGGGGTCAGAGTCTAGCAATTGGACTATGTAGGTACAGAGACGGCAGTCGCGCTAGTATACACGTAGCAGTGACGTAGCAGCAGGCTAAGGATGAATCATCAGGCCACGAGTTGACTAGAAACCAACGCAATTTCCCTCTTGAGCTCTCGCAACGCGTCAATGCTGCCATGCAAGACCTCGGGAATTTGCGCATCCCTGTCCTGACCGGAAACAGATCACGGCGTCAGCAACAACACACCGACGAGAAAGAGCTTTTGAAGCACGAGCTCATATCAAAACTCTACTATCATAACTTATGGCCCATTTAGTAACGATCCAGATCCATACAGAATCATTTTCATTACTGAAACGATCATCTTGGGCGATGGCTTACTATCATGCGTCTGACCTCACCAAACTCTTCACGACAACAGATTTGGACGTGACCAGGGCGAGTAGACTGTACTGTTGGAGAGTTGATTCAGTAGATATGGTAAGAGATGATCCATAGAGCATGCCGCGTATAGGCAGAGCGGAGAAAATCCTACCGCCAAATGGGTATAAAGGAGGCCTGCTCTGGCATTCATCATCCTTTACCACTACATCCATCGCAATCGCATTCAGACACTTTCAATACTACAAGACAAAAGAACCCAAAACATCATCGAAATGCAGCTCACCACTATCGTTGCCTTCCTTGCGGCCGCCGCTAGCGCCGCTCCTGGCACACTGTCTCCACGGCAGTCTGGAAGCGTGCGTGCACGTTTCTATAACGATGGCGGTTGCGGTAGCAACGGCAATGATATAGCGCAAGCTGAGTTGATCCTCACGCAAAACGATATTGTTGGCAAGGCAGGATGTCGGGACTTGACCATCGGGCCATACCCTGCTGTATTCTTCGATCAGAGCACTCTGAACAAGAGGAGTAAGTCAAAGCACAGCTTTATCCAGCCCGCCCCTCACTGGGAGATATCGCAATAGTTGTGCTAATTTTTCGTCATCCAGTTCGCGTCTTGAATGTGCCCTGCTCTCAAGTTGCGGACAACTTGGACCAGACCCCTGGAAACAGGATTGACATTGGGCCAGGGAACATCATGATCGGATGCAAGGCCTTCACTGTGCTTTCCTATCTGACTTTGCCGTAGAGAAGTCATTCTTCCGGCAAGTGCAAAAGTAGATGGTACGTGGTGAGGATGGAGATGTAGTAGATTGGGTCCAACACTCCAACTACGTACATGGCTGTTCGTGAGGTGTCTCTCTTTGTTTGTCTTTGTTCTCTTTCACCAACTTTCTAGTCACTCGTTTAGTCTAGAATTCCGGAAACATCAGGTCATATGTCACTATCTCCTATGGCTCTTGAATATAATGCGGTGATTCTACGGTATCTGCGCGCCACTTCCCTGCTGAGGCTAATCAGCACCCACCTGTATCCACATTCCGATTGGAGCAAGCCTTTCTTCAATCGCTCATTCCAAGCTCGGACAGTCACCTCGACCTGTGTCACAGTTAGCGCACTAACTCCCGCGCGCTCTTTTACCACGCCTGTTCCCAGGTAGTAAAGTCTTTCCCATACTCACCCCCCAGCTCCTTCCACTCATTGCGCAACAAAGTCATTCAAGGAAACAACTACCAAACATCCAAGACGCATCTCATGAATCTCCTGCTCGCGTGCGTCTTCGCCCTGTGCGTCATTGCCGCACCCGCGGACTTCAAGCTGCACTCTGCGCTCACCATTCCCGTCCCCGGCTCTGCAACCTACGACGCCGACCTCGCTGCTGCTGTCGCGTACGCCCGGTCCCACTCCACTTCCTCCGTCCAGACCGCCGCCGATGGCCCAAAGAACAAGCTCTGCGGCCAGTACACTACCACTCCCGACTCCAAACCCTTCTACACTGAGTTGCGCACAGACGGGACCAATGTGTGTACCAACATGAACCCGGGCTATACTATGGCGATTGTTGGCAACTATTTCTGCGGTTTTTGCATGTACTTTGACAGTAAGTGTATCCGTTCTCCACTTGCAGCATCTTCTGCGCTGCAAAGCTAGAAGCCAATTAGGAAGGAGGCAACTGACATGTATTGTAGAAGATGGATGCCAGGGCGCTCTCGTCTGGAACAAAGGACCGGAATACAATCAGTGGCAACTTGTTCCGCGTACCAAGAGCTACATCTGTTTCGATTGAGGTATGGCTAGCATATGTGGTGACGAGATATGATCAGCATTGAAGGTGTGCATTTCGATACCGAGGTCCTCCCTACTGCTTTCCGGCAGTGTGGTTATCGGTCACACTAGCATGTGTCTTCTCTCTTCTATTCCAAAGAAGTGTACTATGGTGCGTTTGGACAGTATATGGCAGGCAGTCTGTCAATATGAAGAATTGACAACAATTCAACAAAAGCGCGCTGGTGATTGTGATGTACACGTCACATACAACTCGAGTGACACGTTATTAGCTGTGACCTTCGTATCCCTTGAAGTCTCTCAAGACCCCTCTTCCTCTTTCCTTTTGAAGTCTTCTCCTTCTAAAACTATCGATGTTTCCCCGGCCACGACGCTACACAAACAGGAAAGTCGCGACAAACTGGTCAGACAAACCACTACACGTCAAACTTGATATTTCAGAAACGGAAATGAATGCGCATTTAGCTCTGCAAGCGCGTGTGCACGACTACGAGGAACGCGACAAGGATAAAGCAAACAAATTGGAGCCCGAAACAGAGCTACATACAGACTCACATACCAGCATCGAAGAAGGAAAGCTGGAAGGAAAGAGCGTAGAAGTACATGAAGATGAGACGCACAGTGCGTGTGGCCAGGATGACCGTGCGAGGAAGACTTCTGAAAGAGATGAAACGGTGGTGGTTCTGGGTGGCGGCGGTGAAAGAGACATAGTGGTGATAACAATTAGGCATGTGCAGGCCGCTGCGACCACTGTGGAAAGGGGTACATCCAATGGAGATGACAAACGAAATGAGGGTGGGCACACATCGGGCGAGGTATGGACAGAAAGTCCGCATTTTCTTTGGGGGCCTTGAAAGATCATAACTCTTGAATGGTATAGCAACAGTATCTCCTCATCCCATCCCACAATATCAAGCGCTATCCAACGACGCTTTGCCTCATAGTGACCGCTCTTCTTCTATTACTCCAGAACGCCTTGCTGGGTGGTGATGATACATGAAAGGTGACAT